CCTCTAGTAATATATTTACTGAGAAAAATGGTGACATGTTCAATACTTAATTTACCCGCTGTATATCAAAAATAAATTTAGCATCATAGCCTATCCAAACGCCTTGAAATTGGCCTCTTTCTCTTTAAGAACCCCCTACCATTTCTGACATTCCCACTTCAGCATGTCTTGACAACAATGCTTCAATTTTCGTAAGAGAAAAGTCCAACCATTTYTGACAAACTGTGTCATTTTCAGGAATTAGACTCCTTGGCATCCAAAAACACACTTCCTTGATGAAGGTATTTTTTTAATCCGAAAGGGACCATACTGAGAAGTACAGACGTGCAGTTCCACAAGCTGTTTAAAGGTTGCTGCTGSTGGTGGAGCCGTGTGGGGGAGGCACAGGGAAGGGGGGCTCTGTGGGGCAGGAGCTCGGCAGGGGACAGAGCTCCTGGGAGGAGCTTTGGGTAAATGGGCGGAGCTTATTTTGAGCAAGCGTTTAGGCAGCTCCACGTGGCTACCACAGGAGAGTCAAGGATTTCTCAAACAAGCAAATATAAAGCTCAAAAAAGTTGATTTTGAAAACACCCCCCACCCCTGAATGAGCTGTATTTGATGTTTCTACTGTTTGTTTTTCGACTTCAGGGTTCAAGAGTAAGGATGGTGTTTCTGAGATGGTTAAATCCTACCTGGACAAGAAGGTGAAGCTGGATGAGTTCATCACTCACAACATGCCTTTAGACCAAATCAATGATGCCATTGAGCTGTTGAGGAATGGAAAATGGTACTTTTTAAATAACTTTTTCCACAGTGTATTTGTACCTAAATGGGAAAATATCAAGTTTACACATTAAAAGTGTCATTTTTTGTTTTGCTTTATTTTTTCCCCACAGCATCCGCACAGTCCTGAATGTCTCTCCACAATAAGCCGTCCATCCATCCTTTCTGGATTCTCAGGGGGTCACTGATGCCCACATCTAGCAGTCGCTGCGCGAGGAACAGAGTACACCCAGCATAACCAAAGATGATTTACCAAATCATGCATAATTTGCATAAAAATTTGAATAATCAGCACTGCTCTAGAAATGTATGTGAAACACATTATGTCAATTTGGCAATGCATGTACTGTATCAGTGTTTGTAAAGCAACATGATTTATCAGACAGACTGTGTCCTTTTATGGTGGTGTTGTTTTTTAAGACAACTAATAAAATGTATCTGAGACTCATTCAGAGAAGTCTGAAATCCTGTCATGAAAGGTTCAAGGATTGTTGGGTTTTTGTTGTGTGTTTGCTGCCAGACCAGTTTTATTTCACTAATAAAGTTGTAATCAACCACTCGGCTCCTCGGCCTTTGAGTCTGCATTTTGGGTCCCCACCTCTGCACACATGACTGCCTCATTCTGGGGAGAAAAACTGCTGCCATTTCTAAAGAGCTCTGCTGATTTAATGCTTATTTTCAAGAGAAATATCAGCATTGTTAGGACTTTATTGCTTTACCTACAACTAAATACTCTTCTATCATTCACCTCTGAGGCACAGGAGATTTTAAATATTTTAATATTGTGTGAGACAACAAAAAGATTCTGTCTGTGTTGGTTTTATTATTAGAATCAGGTTTTCCGGGTTTTCCAAATATAGTGGACTTCGTTTATTTTATCCCGATTGCAGCTGAAGGCGTCACTTCTGGACTCCTCTCTAGAGTATTTTAAAATATAAATGGAAAGGTAAGAACAATTATACATTTTACAATAAACATATGGCTCTGCATTGTGTAAAACACTCATGTGTGTAAAGTTTTACCGATAAATTAACTTTTTGTTTTCGTGCAGTGAAGTGTAAAGAAAGTTGCTCCAGGTTGGAAGTGATTTTTCTGTCACTGACACACCAAGCCCCCACCACCTTTTACATTTTTGAGTTTTGTATTTTTATCTGACACAGTTTCAATGCTTCCTGCATGTTCTCCCTAAACTGACATTTGTGTTAAAAAAATAAAACAAAGTTTAGCATGATTGTATGAGTCACTGTTTGGTTTAGAAATTTGATTTAAAATATATCAGGCCTGCTAATTTTTTATCCCGTTAACAAACAGTATCTACACTCACCGGCCACTTTATTAGGTCCACCTGTCCAACTGCTCGTTAACACTTAATTTCTAATCAGCCAATCACATGGCGGCAACTCGGTGCATTTAGGCATGTAGACATGGTCAAGACAATCTCCTGCAGTTCAAACCGAGCATCAGTATGGGGAAGAAAGGTGATTTGAGTGCCTTTGAA